CACTTTTGTTCCCCCTTTCTTTTTCGTTTATATTGGCGTTGCTTCCCATCAGAGTGTGATTTAAGCTGTCCGGCATCACTCCTTGTTCACAATGTCATCACCAATCTTCCAATGGCAGCCCAATGATCTTCCTATTTATTTTTTTTACAGTCGATCTTCCTATTTAATTGCTACGTGTTTCGGTTCTTCTTCTAGATTGCAATGTCATCGCTCCTGAATTTGCCCGGAAAAAAAACACAGTTATAATACTAGATCTTCCTTCTCAACTGTGAGTAGGTACGTGGTTTCGTTATTCTAGCTACTTCTCTACCACAAAACGACAAGTGCATCCAATCACATTGAATCCCAAAATTGGCCGCTAATTCCCCAACTTTCAAATTCAACAGCCAATTAAGAAAAGAAGCACATAAATATAAGTGTGAGAAATCACTATGTGGAAGCAAAAACAAGTTCAATTAGTAAAAGGATAGTTGAATTCGATCAAAAATAAAATATTGAGCTTGTTGTCTTCCAAACCCTAGAAATGCTTCAATCCGATATTTCAATCCCAAAATAACAATTGTGAGCTGGGATTTGTGAGCTTCTCCTTCTTGTCGGCGTGAATTTGGGGGCGAAGCAAGTCACCAGTGGGGTTGGGAAGAGACGACATGGGGAGTTTCAGAAATTGGCGGCCGACGCGGAAAAGAGAGAGGAATTTCTCTGCTGAGATGGGGTTTGGATGAGCACGATGTCAATCAAACCCGTAACCATGGGTATCCTACCCGACCGTAACCGGTCAACGAGGGTAATTATCCGCTTTGACGGGTTAAGGAGCGGGTACGGGTAATACCCGGTTTCAAAATAAAGGGTAGGGTACGGGTATGGTAATCGATAATACCCGCACTGTTATACCCGCCCCGCTAACCAAAGGGTCAATTTCCCTTGAGAAATTTAGATTAGCTTGAGAAATTGAGTTTAGCTACCATTATTGATGATGAAGATGTAGACGATTTATGTTTGTATGGATTGTAGAAGCAAGAACAATTATTATGTGTTTGCTATTTTTATTTGTGTGGATTGTTGAAGCTAAAACAGTTACAAGTATTGAGAATTTGTAATGGACAACAGTATGTATGTGCATATATGTGTATAAGTTCATAGTTTAGGATTCGTACCCATGGTTACCCGAATACCCGTGGTTACCCAGTGGGTAGGGTATGGTTATATAATTTTCATACACGGTGGTTATTTGGTCGGGTATTTTAGAAGGCTCTACCCGGCGGGTTAGGAGTTGGTATAGGGTAAACCCGCACCCGACCCTACCCATTGCCATCCCTAAGCACGAATGATCGAGGAAAGAGAATAAGCGGTGGTGGTAGGGGTGGGCACGTGGGTGGTTAATCCGCGGATTAATATTATCCACCCGCAAATAACCCAACCCACACATATTGGGTGATTGATGTGGGTGGATTGCGGATTGTTAAATCTCCAACCCGCACTTATGTGGGTGGATAGTGGGTGGATTGCGGGTCACCCGTTTGACCCGCGTCCTATTTTTACATGGAAAAATATTGTTTTTTATAGGATCGAATATTCATCATATTTTCGAACTACACTATAGTCTGACCATATACTTCAAAATGTGGAGAATAAAGAATAATTTTGACTACTATTATTGGTTATTGTGTTGTGCAATATCTATTGGATATTGAATATTGGTATGCAAATTACTGTTAATATCCATTAAATATTGGGATACAAACTATAAATTATTAATTGTATCAAAATCACAAATTATTGATACAATCTTACTAATTTGCTAAGAATTTATTATAAATGTTAGTCAATTTTTTTAATGGCTAGTTGGAGAATTGCTTTTGCTGGTTAACTCGCGACCCAACCGCACCCATCCGCTACCCACCTAACCCAACCCGCATAAGTATGTGGGTGGATTGCGGGTCACATGTATTCTAACCCGCCAGTAAGCGGGTGGGTCAATTTTAGACCAAAATCCACCCAACTCGCCCAATACCCACCCCTAGGTGGTGGTAACCCACTAGTAAGCGGGTGGGACAATGCTGCTGCTATACAAGGAGACATAACGGTACTACTACTTCTACTAGCAGTACCGTCTACCGAACCCCTTTAATTGTGCATGTAATAGGTGGTGGGTTTCATAATTGTGTACAATCATACGAATATTGTCAGGAATCGAACCCCGGTGGCTGGAATAAAGGACGAAAGGTGAGAAGTTTGAATTTATTGTTTTAAGTCAATACTGCATCGCTTGTTGAATTCTGTTTTTTGTCCTTGTAGTTTTTAATTTGTTGCAGTTGGGTCCTGAATCGTGTGGTTAGCTAATGGGAGCTTTCAGCTTGTGTTGTTAGATGATAGTTGGTCATGGGAGTTTGATTTGAACATTGAGGGAGTTGAGATTGTTGATGGAGTGCATTTTTGTACATATACTTTTGTTCATTTTCCTCAATAAAATGTATAAGTTTTCTCCCTATTCGAGTGCACATTGCAAACTATAACATGTTCTTAGCTATCAGAGCACTCTTGCAAACTATAACATGTTATTGTGTGATTAAGAGTGAGAGATCTGCAGAAAGGATATTTGGGAAACATGAGGGATTTGTGAGTTCAAAACAAATAAAGGGTGAGAGATTTCCAGAATGTTGCTAGATAACAAATATGTGATGAGAGGTGAGCGATTACAGTGGGTTTTGCACAAACTGGTAAACCAAAGTTTGATGGGGGACTATGAGCATTGAAGTCTCCTGGTGGAAGCCTACTCAGATCCAAAGAATACTGGAGTGTGGTGACTTAGGGCATTCAAGAGCCAACTTCAGGTGTAGCCTTGTAAGCTGAAGAGTCGAAAGGCTTGCAAGATCTAAGTCTAAGAGATGTTAAAGCCCAGAACTATATGTTTAGTTCTATTGACAAGGCAAATAAAAACCATTACCAACAAGGAAACAACTAAGGATCTATAGGATTCCATAAAGATCAAGTATCAAGCAAGTCTCAGGATGCAGAAAGCACAATTGAGGTACTCGGAAGAACCTATAAAGTTTTGGAAATGAAGGAAGGAGAAACTGTGAGTACCTACTTTGCATGGTCATGGTGGTTGTAAACTCAATGAGGAACTGTAGGGAAGACTTTCCTATAGCAAAATCGTTAGTGCATGAGCAAAAGTTTACCAAAATGGCAGTTGGTGATCAAGAAGATCAAGTGTTGAAGATGTCACATGAATATGAAGGAAGAGGTGGCAGAGGCCATGTCAGAGGGGGGAGGACACTACCAAGTAAGAGGAAGGGGAAGGTGAGGAAGAGACCTGATCAAGGACACACTTGAATGCTACAAGTGTCCCAAGCTTGGACATTTCAAATATGAATGTTCGAATTGGTATGAGAATTATCAAGCTCATTATTCAACTTCTTTCATTACTCAAGATAGATCTAATTAATGGTGATAGGAAATATGATGGTCTATTAATGGTCTTGTTGAACATAAACCATCAATAGAAGTTGAGGATGCAGATCCTAGTAATGAAAGAAAAGGGCTGATGACGTACCAGAAAGATGTCAAAACTGAGCAGAGTGCAGGATGGTGGTTCCTTGATCCAGGATGTAGTAATCACATAAGTGGGGAGAGAAACTGGTTCACAGAAATTTACACCAACTTTCACTGCAAGGTGATAATGGAAAATGACTTCCGACTGGAAGTATCTGGAAAAGGAGTAGTGAAACTTCCCACTGATCAAGCATCCTAAACAATCCAAGAAGTATTTATGTACCTAGATTGACGACCAACCTGCTTAGTGTAGGCTAGTTGCAAAAAAAGAGGATTGGTTTTTCTCGTCAAGAATGGTTTATGTAAGATATTTTATGAAGACAAAGAGCTCCTTCTATAGACACAAATGAAAACAAATCGAATGTTTGTCCTTCATGCTGAACAGAAAAGCACAAACAACAAGCTTCAGTATCTTTGGCATCACTAGTTGGACATATGAACCTTCAGTCTCTACAAAATTTTCAACAAAAGTAACTGGTGCAGGATATTGCCACAGCTGAAAGGAGAAGTGGGGGTTTGCTCCACCTGCTTAGATGGAAAACAACATAGACAGCCTGTTCACAAGAAAAGCAACTTGAGGGCAACTCAAGAACTCCAACTTTTGCATGTAGATTTTTGTGGGCCAATAAATCTAGTATCTAATGGAGGAAAAGGGTATATCTTGATACTTAATGATGACTTTAGTGAAAACTGTGAGTATATTTTCTAGTATCCAAGTTTGAAATAAAATAAAGTGGAGAAAGAATCTAGAATGTCTATCAAGTGACCTAGCACATTTAGAACTAATATGCACATGAAGTCAAGTTTTAATTCTTGGGGGTTGGTCACTGACTTTGCAAGTAATGGTTAATTACTAATCAACTTATTAATCACTACTCGTCAGCGAATAAAACTAATATGCACATGATATGGTGACATGGAAGAATTGTGTTTTCATTCCATAAAGAGATTTACCATGCGCAGTAACTTTCTATTATACCTAACCAACCACTGCACAAGTGACACTCATTACTGATAAATTTAAGTATCTAAATTAGTATAGCCAATATTCACACGACCTCACGGGAAAACTTAATGTTCGACTTCATTAGTAAGGTTTGTTCTGGCCAAATCAATGATGGTATATTCGTTGGTCAAGTTCAAACTTCATTACACATAGAAGCTTACTCATGCACAATGATTTAGCATCCAACTTTATGTTAAGTATCATTAGCTTCGGTTCATTAGGGATTAGATGACCAACAGTGTTTGATTTTGTTATTATAAATTCGTAATGTGTGTCCGAAGTTTGAAAAAAATTATTGAATGGAGAACAATATTCGTATCCCAAAGGTTAATGATTCTTGGAACGTTTGTTTTGTTCTCTAAAACCATTAACCTTCATTTAAAACGAAAGTACTCTTCATTTCTACTTAACATATACCTTTTCAGGTAAACCATCGTGAAGCGTGCCAATTATCTAGTACAGTTACTATAGCTGCTCAAATAGATATTTTAAACCGTTAAAAAATTTACCGATTTATTTATGGATCATTAGCCAAAATCTAGATATTGATTGATCTTGGATTGGCCGGATCATACATTCAAACAAACAAACAAATGGTAGGGGGTTATTAATTTATCGGACGATCATGTCGAGTAGTGGTGTTGATGAGGCAGCACTATGGGCTTGTAAATGACAGAATCAATCGCCGCCACCATCTCGTGTGGCGAAGAGAAGCCATCTTTGGACATGTAGAACATATGCACAATCTTGCTCGTCTGCCAAAACACTTCCTTCACAGCTCTCGGCACCATGCTCCCTTCGTCACCTTCCTTCAGCACCACCATCCTCAGCAGTTCCTTCCTGTGCTTCTCAATCATTGCCTGAATCTCTCGCCGAGCCTCTTCCTCCGTCACCTTCCCGTTCTTCTTCCCTTGCATCATCCCCAAAGCCAAGCTGTTTTCTTTCCCTTGCGCAATCTCTCGCTGCGATGATTCATCGAATTAACGTTGAGTTAGTCATTTAAGTTCGTTAGAAAAGATGGTGATGCATGGTTTAGTTAAGTACGTACCCCGATGGTGGCGAGATCGTTGAGGAGGCGAGCTATTACGCTGACGTGCATGAACAGATCGTCGTACTCTTTGCTCAGCATGGCTTCCTCGGAGAGGTCACATCCCAAGAAGTACATTGGCACCAAGATGACCGGTCCCAGTGCAACGCTTACGTATCCTGTCGCGATGTACTCTTCCATTGTCGGGATGATCTTGTCTCTTCCCCTAACGTACTCTTGCCACATGCAGTCCAGCAACACAAGCCACTGCATATACGTCGCCAACACAAACCATCACATATTATTACCCACTCTATGTTCTCTCTTTGACAACTCGAGTTATTAGTATGCGCGAAGATTTGTTTTATATATGCGTACCATGTTCATGAAGTGATGTTTGACACATCTTCCCTGCACCAGGCTAGCCTTGGCCACATACTCGTTGGTTGCGTCGTAAACAGCCTTGAAAATGATCTCAACTTGTTCGGAACAGAACCCTACTGACTCGTATCCATCCCACCTGCGTTTATAAAAAAACAGACGGACTAATATTAATTGCATGTATTATCCAATTAATTATGTTTTACTGATATGCCTCAAGATCATAATTAATTAGGATATAGCTTAGCTAGTACACGTACGCTTTGACCAAGTCGATGAAGTTGAGAAGCTCTTCCTCGGAACCGCCGACATCAAACAAATCGTCAATAAGTGTTACTAGTACCGTGTTCTTGGCCCACGAATTCCTGGCCTCGGCGTACTCCGGAGAGAAAAGAATGGCGGCCGCCGCAAAGAAGCCATAAGCCACCTTCTGTCTTGCAAACTTGAGCTCTTCGATTCTGTACTCTTTCACCCACCTGCATACGAGATTTAATAATTCATTTAGATTTTCTTTTGTTAACAAACCGTAATGGAAGGAGGAGACATATTTGACTATTATTGTACCTTTCCAGAACTTCAAGCTCTTTCCTTTGCAGAGATTGGCACTTGTTAAAGTCCTCCACTGCAAATTCCACCCACTCTTTATTGTCTGTGGTAGAGCAACTGCAACAAATCAAACAAAAAATTAACCAAGGTATTCCTACGGTAAACCCTAATTGAAGTTTCGATCATTGCATTAATTACCTGTACGATGTCTTGAGAAGTTTGACGTCGTTGTCCAGGCCGGCCGTCTCTATGCTCAGTCTATTCTCGATCCGCTCCAAACTTGCATACGGAAACTTCAATGCATATCCCACCTCTTGGGCCAGCCTCTGCTCCTGGTCGGAGCCGTTTGGCGACGATGACGACGACAACGAGGCCTGTCTGAGGTAAGAGCTCGTCCAATCCTTCATCCTGTCAAGAATCGGTTCGCTTTGGAGGATTGTGGTCAGTGAAGCTTTGTACAGCTCCAAAATTGTCTCCGTGGTTTTGTACTGGGTGAGGACGCTGTCCATGTACTCTTCTTGTCTCTCCAGTCCTTCAAATACCTCTGCAGAAATCCAAATTAATTGTATAATTACTCTTAGTTAGTCTGAAATTTGGTGTTAAGTATTAACTAATCCATTTGAGGTGGCTTCTTAATTTACCGGAAGAGACATGGTATCCATTGACACGCAGGAGCCGGAAAGCCTTGGCAAGACAACCCATGTCTGTGAATAATTCCTCGTCCCTCTGGATCCAGCTTCTGATCCAAACAAAAAAAAAAACAATTTAAGTGAATGATTTTTTTAATTTAAATATTGCGATTTATTTCTAATTCTGTTCATTATAAAATTCTGAGTTTGCCACAGACAAGTGGAAAATTAATTACTTGTATACGTCGTCAAGAATGAGTGCAATCTCTGGCGTGAAATATTGATGTATCCCTAATTTGACGAGGTTATCCACCATGTCAAGCCGACTCAACAGGTCCAATGGGAAAACGGCTGGCACTGAATGCACCAAAGTTGAATATATATGAGAAAAATGTGCGTAAATGATTAAAAAATACAGAAGAAAGAAAGAAAGACCAAAAAAAAATCGCTGTAGTATTAATTTAAATATTAATTAAGTAGTGGACTGTGGTAAAGCAAGAAAGTTACCAGCTGGGGAGTTGTTGTAGGCGGAGAGGACGGAGTCCAAATAAGACAAGGATTTGTCATCGTGGAGGTGGAGCAGAGCGGCGGCGGTTGCCGAAGGTGAATTAAACAAAGAGCCGTTCTTTCTCTGGTGCTTCCTCAGCACTTCCTCCCATTTCCACTGCCCGCCGCCGCCGCCGTTGACTCTGGTCAAGGCGGCCAATCCCTCCGCGGAGTATGCCACATCTGCCATCTTCCCCGAGGCCCACTCGCCGCTATATTATTATTATAAAAATGAAATAAATAAATGAAATCGAAAAATACTGTTACCGAACTAAAATTAGTAGACAATTTTAGTGGTATGAAATCGTTAAACTATGATTAAAGTACTCAATTTTATTTTTTAAGTAAACTTTAACGATTATAAAGAAAAATATAATAACCGCGGACTACCTTTGAAGGAGGAGGTCTCGGTTTAGGAGCATTGCCTGGAAGGTAGAAGGGGTAAAAGGGAGGTTGAGGCCCAAGGCGGCGGCAGATTCCATCATCCCTGGGAATGTTGCATCGAACCCAATTGGAGTGCGCTGGTTCTTGTCCGTGGCTGCCCATGCGTTAGATCTTATGAAATCTAATCCTGCAATTAATAATATATATAATGCTGGTTAATTAATTGATTAAGAACATGATAGTACTATTAACTAATTAGTTGGATCGTCCCCACTTGATTATAATTAATTAACTCCATCTCGTCAAGGTTAGGGTGCATCATATCACGATGATCTACGACTAATAAAGCTTAATTAGTACATGCATGCACCTAGCTGCATAACTAAAGACGTATAGTATAATAATATTATACAATACAACGGCTGCATAGATTTTTCTTTGTAAGCATATATATATCGTCAGAGATTACTATTTTCCTTCATCTTTTTTTTATTGCGATTAACAATCGTTACTAAATCTTATCGGGAAATCATTAATAAAAATAAAAACAAATTGCAGTGAAGTAGTAAGAGGCTGCAGGGAAATCATATTTTGAAAATACAGAAATCTATAGGGCATAATTTGTCCAATTTTTAGAAGTATTTTTCTATTTTAAAGGTTGAAACTCAACTTTTGAAAATACTGAAAAAGTGTTTTTATAACATAATATAGCAGAAAATTTTGTATTTAAATTTTATGAAAATTATTTTAAAAATATTATTTCTCTTACGACATTTAAAATTTTATTAAAAGCATAGTTTTCTTTTATTAATCTTATATTAAAATTAAATTAAATTAAATTAAAAAATATTAATATTTAATACAAAGAAATCTGACGAGATTCACCTTGACTGCTTTTATACTTTTGAATTTTATAGGTATTTTATATTGGAAATTTTTTGTCATTTTAGATCAACTCTTGTATTAAAAACTTCTAGTTGTGTCACAACCATTTTTTTTTTTTTTTGAAAAACAATTCTGTAAAAACTACAACAGTACAAAACCAGCTAATAGTTAATCTTAATAACACGATTTGTTAGAAGATAATAATAATATAACTAAAAACCAAGCTGATGAGGAGAAGAAGAGCCACAATAGGACACCTCGATTAACGAGTTGGTCACCAACACCCCATCTGCGCAGAGCGAGGACGGCGGCGAGGGTGGACGACAGAGAGTCCTTCACCAGCAGCGGATCCGCGGGATGTGAAGCCCACGACCCGTCCGCCAGCTGGTTCTCCGCCACCCATCTCAAGCATTGCGGAAACCGCGCCACCTGCTGCTGCTGCTGCTGCGTGTTGTTGTTGTTGCGGCCGACCATGGCGACCCATGCGGTGTCGTATGGCGAAACGGACAGCTCCACTTCCTTCCTCAGCATCTCCTTCATCTTCCCCACTCGCCTTTCCTCCTTCCACCTAATCACCTGCTGGAGATTGGGCTGTGGGTCTCTTCTCAAGGGAGGCACACGATCCGCATGCTCACCACCTGCGCATCGTCACAAAATATATAATAAGTTCGACGAGGAAAGGAAAATATATATCCATGGGTTTGAGCAAAATTGTCGCGCTCTCCCCGACTTACCGATGGGAGAATGGACGGGACGGGTCGGGTGGGAGAGGACGCTGAAAGTAGTGAAACGAGCAGTAGTACTGAGTGCCATTTAATTTCTTCCTTGGTAAAGAGAAAAGCTAGGAGGGAGTTGAATCAATTGAATGATAGAAAAAAAAATTAAAAAAAAATAAAAATTGGTGTTGAATGAAGGAATTGTTAGGGCCGGGGAATGAGAAGAAACAACAAAGGAATGGTACTGGTGTTATGGGATGTGGTAAACTTGGTCTGTTGGTGGTGGGATTTTATAGAAAGGAGAACTGAGGCCTATAGCGAGCCGCCGGGGAGACTGGTCCAATGAAAAAGACGTCGTTCTGTGGCCACCACCTCCACGTTTTACTTGTCCACCAAACCGGCCTGCCTGCCTGTGGATCATTTTGGCTACTGTTGTTGTTGTTATCCCTATTTTCTTCTGTCGGGGGTTGTTTCTTTTTCTTTTTTTATGTTTTCGATTTAGGCGATTTGATCAACGATTTGGGAGAATATTTTATCCTCTTTAGTCAAAATTCTCTGAAGACTTTTTGTGGTGTACAATACACCTAGCCGATCCAGATTGGTAACCGATGAGACCAAATGCAACCACACTAGCTACTATTATATTCCATATATATATATTGCCATTTTCTGGAAACGCCGTCCCTTTCCAGATATATTTATTATGAAAATTGGGGAAATCAGTTCATCCCAATGACTTTGTTGGCAGCGGTGGAGTTAAAAAGTATAGTGTACAAGGGGCTTATCCTGACTTTGTCGATCGCTTTTGAACAATGGTCGAGTGCTTTCGGCAAACAATCGACCAAATGAAGAGTCACTATTAGTGAAATAAGGGTATTTGATTATGAAACATCCAATGTTAGTGGATATGGTTTGCTAGTAAGAGAGTTGAAGTGAGTACAAAGGTTAAAGCATATATGATTCTCATGTGATTGTTCTCTCAAAAATTTAAAAATTGCATTGTGCAGATTTGTTTCTTAGATTTGGGTTACTCTGTAAGACTTTCATCTTCAAAGTTCATACATCCCCTAACATCTTCCTTTTGCAAGATATTATTCCAAAAGTGTTAAAAAATCTCCTATTTCTTTCAGTTTAGGTCGATAAATTTCGAAGAGATTTGGTTACCCATGATTGACAGGGTGTTGCATTACTACTGAGAAATTTTATATTGTAGACTTTCTGTTGTCCTTTATTTTCTAAATGTAAGTAAAATGTAAGTTTGTTATCTAGTCGATTGTTTGTTGGAAGCGATCGACTATTTGTCAGAAGTGCTCAACATTCTGGAAACGGTCGGTCATTTTCGCAGAAACGGTCCATCATTTATTGGAGGAGGTGCATCGACCGCATTATATAAACGGTCAACCGTTTTGTAGATGCGCTCGACCTTTTTGATGTGGTCGACTATAGTATACAATGATTTGAAAATCATCACTTCCATACCTAATTGAATATAGGGTTTCATCTACATCTATAAATATATATGATGTGTACAGATAGAGTATAAGGATTTCGTTTTTAGCATTTGAGAAATGTAGTCTTTTTTATTATATATGAAAATTTAAGTCACAAGAATTATTTTAGAAAGGTAAAGTAATTTTTTTTATTTACCATGTTGATTTGGATAACTTATTATTACTTTTTAGATCAATCCAACGAGTAAGGATTAGAGATAGATTAAGAATATCTATATAAAAATAAATAATTAAGGAACTAGTCAGATTATGCCATGCTTTCACTCTTTTTATTTTCTTTCCGTTGATAGTAAACGACCCATATCTTTTTTGCTGGTTTGGCCATGCTGTAATTTTTGTTGAAGCTACTTCTGACTTGAGTTTTTAGAAAAGTACTATTAAAAAAAGATGTTAAGTGTTTGTCCTGTTGTAACTTTTGCAGAAGCTGTTTCTGGCTTGAACTTTTAAAAAGTACTTTTAAAAAAAAAATTAGTGTTTGGCTGATAAACTAATAGAAGTGTTTTTTAATATCAGAGGTCATGTAAAATTAATAAAAATGATTTCTAATATAAAATTCAAATTAAAATTTTAAAAATTAAAAAATTATATTCAATAATATTACTTTATAATTTATTTATTTTAACATAATATTAATTAATTAAAATTATATTTTCCTACATAAAATTAAAATATGATAAGGATAATCTTGTATTTTCAAAATAGCTTTTTCGAAGAAGCTGCAAATCTGAAAATCTTCTTTTATGTTAGGGCTAATACCACTACAACACCCGAACTATTCCAAAAATGCCACTTGTGTTCTATTGTTTTCAATATTTCATCTGTGTCCTGAACTATGATTCTGTTATCGTTGACTTTTGTTGACCATTAAATTTTAACGGAATGACAGATCAATGCTGATGTGTATGCGGACATGGCTCTTTCTTCTGCGATGTGGCTCTTTATTTGTTTCTTATTTTAAAAATCTAAAATGAAATAAAAGGTAAATTTTGTGTGGCCATTTCACCAACCACATTTACCTTATCTAATCGAAGAGAGAGAATTCAGTGAAAGGAGAGGAAGAACCCTAAACAGTCTCCCGACGAAGAAGGCTCTCGGCGCTGGTGATTCTCCTCTACTCAAGCATGGGGCGTTCGATTCGGCGCTGGTGAAGGCTCTTAGCAACACGAGAAGCGGGGAAGACGGAAAGAGGGCGATCGATTCCTCGAGGGGAGGGCGATTTCTTTAGCCTCCTCCGTCAGACGAAGATCGACCCACGACCACCATCGCCAATTCTTTCTTCTCGACATCTCCTGGAACATTCGCAGCCTTCAAATCCTCCACCATTGAAGGATTCGAGCAGCATTTTGAAGAAGAAGGCGCTGATTTGCGGGATTTGAGTTTCCCCCAAATTTTCTAGGGTTTCTCCTCGAGGCTTTGTGGTCTCTTTTCTGGAGTGTTGGAAGTATTTGAAGGATGACTGGGTGGTTGGGAAGCAAAGAAGGTGCCAGAAGTAGTACAAAGGAGTAAATGGCGTAGCTTCTTAGCTGGTGTTATAGCTCGAGATTCTCTGGGAAAAGGTTGAAAAGCAGGGACCACGAGGATAGTGTGAAGACTAATTTACCCTTTTGGCAACTTCAGTAACAGTTATGATATGGGTGAAATTAGTACGTATTGGTCACTTACATTGGTGGTTGAGAAGTCGTTGTCTTGGGTCGGATTATTCAATTGAGATGGGAATCAGTTTTGTGGTCTTCCAGAAGCAAAGTAGTATTCCAAATGCTTTGTGGAATGCTTTACGGAATAGAATATTAGGGGTTGTTAAAGTATGCTTAATGTATGAATTCGATGAATTTAGGCTATTGTTAAAGGGAGAATGTTTGGTTTTGCAGGATGTCGACATTGGTGGAGTTGATTGTCCATCACGGTAGGAAAATGGAATATTCTGATGATGGTATTCGCTACATAAATGGAAAGTCAGAGGTTGTTGACATGGACATAGATTATGTCTCGTTCTTACAACTCCAACAAATTGGAAGAGTCCACTTCGATTACGCAAGGGTTGAGAGGCTGTGGTACGTGGCACCCTCCGACACTTTGGATAATGGTCTAGTTGAAATACAGTCTGATAGTGAGGTGATGGATGGCTTGCTCCCAGCCATAGAAGATGGAAAAATTATGATATTCATGGAAGCAATAGAAACTCAAATCGGGGACAATGAAGAACTTGGAGAAGAGTTATCTGATGATGGTGATTCGGAGGATGGGGATAACTCACAAAACTGAGACATTATTCATCTCATGGATGATGATATCCATACTTCGGATGATGATTTCATTGATGCAATGGAGGAGCAAGGAGTCAGACCACGACGAGTTCGTACTCGTGTTGATCGAACTGGGGAGGAGGTAGAGCAAGAGTCTTTGTTTGTTGATGGTGACCCACTTGTGGATGAAGGCAGAGGTAACAGTGAGACCATTGGTGCGGATGAGGGTGTTAACGAGGACTTGAGGGACAGGGTTGCGGAAGATTCAGCCTACAAGGGTTCAATTGAGTCATGCCACGTGAGGGGGAACATTGATGACGAAGACAAAGGTAGCCCTCTAGAAAACGGACCTCGATATGACCCTATGTGTGACCATTCAACCCTTAAGTTGGTTATGGGCATGACATTTGACAACCCCGAGCAGTTCAAGGAGGCCGTTGAAAACCATTGCATTGCCATTGGAGCTAACATGAGATGGACTAGGAGTGACAAGCAAAAGAAGCGTGCTCAATGCCGTAACAACTGCAGGTGGTACGTTTATGGAAGCTGGCATGGACGTTCTTGCTTTATAATCAAGAATGTTGGAAAAGATCACACATGTCCTAGGTCTGTGAGAATGAAGGTTGCAAATGCTGTTTGGGCTGCTAAAAAGTACCTCGATAGATTCAGAAGGGAGCCGAATTGGAAGGTCAAGAACATGATGGTTGAAATAAGGCAAGCACACAACGTTCAGATTTCCAGGAGGCAATGCTATAGGGCTCGGATTTATGCGAAGAGAATGTTGGGTGGCTCATTGGTTGAAGAGTACAATAAGGTCAGTTCCTATGTGGCAGAAATGAAGAGGAAAGATCCTGCTGGAACCTTCATACTTGAGGTTGACCCAAGTTCTATTCCTAAACGTGTGCTTTTCAAGAGGCTGTATATAGGGTTCAGTGGATTAAGTAGGGGTTTCACTAGGGGCTGTCGTCCTATGTTCGCTTTGGATGGGTGTTTCCTTAAGGGGGAAGTAACTAGTATGTTGTTGAGTGCAATTGGGAAAGATGGTGACAATCGGATGTTCCCTATTGCGTGGGCTGTTGTAGAAGGAGAGAATAGTGATTCGTGGAAGTGGTTCATCTCAATACTTCAACAAGACCTTAGGACCACTGATGGTCGTGGATGGACTGTCATATCTTATCAACAGAAGGTACTATACATACCCCTCAATGAAGTTTCATTGTTTTTTAGTCTCGATGATGCTTCACTAACTCATGATTAATCTTGTTTTCTTAGGGACTAGTGCAAGCAATAAACACTTGCTTACCCGAAGCTTCACAGAGGAAATGTGCACGACATGTCTTTGC